AATCATAGTGAAGTATATTATCTTCCATCATATACGTGTAGATAAAACTGATACACAATCCTATTGACAGTCTCTACTGATAGGAAGTAAGACTTTCAAGGAATGAAAATCATAGCTAGTAATAGAGAAAATTCTATATGGGTATAGAACGTCATGTTACTTTTTTAATCAAGGGAATTTCAAGAATATCTCCAGAGAAATGCTGAAAAGACAGTGGAACTAGCTTACTGGGGTACCCACATTGCAATAATTGTAATTATTGTTCATTTGAATAACTTATGTCTATGAGAAGCCTTGAGTCCATAAAGGTACTCATCAATGAAAAAGTAGAAATCATACAGAAAGGTCATTAACAAAAAGTATATTTTTATTACTTAATAAGACTTACTTATTGAACTCTCTAGAGAGTGAAGTATAGATTTCAGTTGCTTTTATTTGATACATTTTAATATATGTAAATTTTCTAAGTAAATAAAGTTGCCATGAATTTTAAGTTGAATAACTCAAGAGAAGTTGAGAACTCTTCTTGGTAGACCACATGAGTTATCAGCTTCCATGATCACTGATAATAGCAGAGAGTCTCTAATGGTTGGTTGGAAGCTGACGCATGAAGGAAGGATCGCAGGAAGAGAATCTACCCAGGCTCACCATTAGATAATGAAAGTTCTAGATGTTTCTATCAAAAATACTAAGAAAATATGGCATCATGAAGTCAAGTCTCATGGTTTGGAATTGAGATTTGATGGAAATGGGAACTCTTGGGGAAGGTTCACATTGCCAGTTAAGACCAAGGCTCCCAAGGACCATTGACATAGCAACTGAACAGTGACTCCCCCAAAAAACAATCAAACAAAAAATAATCTCTAGCCACAAAAAATATTCTTATGATCAAATCAGCTTTGAAAAGATACCATAAGACCCCGTGTGCTAACCAAAAATTAAGTGGCTAATAACTTAGATTCTGCAAAATCAGCAAGTCTGAGACTGCATTTTGAGTCTAGTAAGATTATTGCAAGCCTAGGAAAGTATAAACAATAAAAGCATATAGAACAAGGGGGAAAAGTTCAAAAGTAAAAAAGACATGAATCAAATGTTCTTTAATAGTATAAGTGTAGATATAGAAATCCCATTGTGATGATTTCTATGTATATGTGCACATACATGTGTACAAACATCTCTAGCTTTTAAAGATTGTGGAGCTTCTAAATAAATATTTATAAATATTTAATGAAATATTTAGGAGACTTTGCCTAACTAGTTTGTAGTCTCCTTTTAAATATTTAAAGATGATTTGATTCATAAAGTATGTTTTATCAGTAGCAAAACTACCATTTGAATGTTTAGGAAAAACTCTAAAAAGTAATAAAATTCAAATATGAGCTTTAAAAAGGTGCTAATAGTAGTGTTTTCCCTACATTCTTATGTTCTTAGTCATTCAAAAGCCGAGGAATGATGTCATTCCCTAATGTTTTTCTTAACAGAAATCTTGCCCCTCAACATCTACACAGACATTCAAGGGGGGATCTTTGATTTCTCTTTCACTACCCAGGTAAATACAGAACTGGATGCACACTCCTGTCAACTTAAATTCAGTACAAAGCCTATAAAATAATTTCCACTATCTATTTCAAGTATTTTGAGGAAAGGTGAAATGGATATCTAGCATGATGGAAACTTTGCCCTCAAACACTTCGTGAAAACCATGACGCATCAATATGGCCCAACCCGCAGCACCCGAGCAAAGGGTAAGGAGCAGACTGACACACACTGTGATACCACCTCTCCCGTAAAACAAACATCAAGTCCGTCACTAGGAAGGCCAGAGAGAAACCATGCATCCCTTCCCAACAACAAAAAGGTAAATCCGGCGCATGAGATGGCTGCAACAAAGATTCAGTCACATTTTCTTACTTTACAGGGTTGACATTTTCAATGTTTATCTTGAAAAGCAACAGTGGGTCAGACTGACACACGTTTTAGAGCATCATAACTTCAACCTGGAGAATTGGTTTGAGTTGATAATGACAACAGTAAAAATGAAATCCCGTTTACAAAACTGCCTTGCTAGAGAAAGCAAACCTCTTATGTAACAGCCCTGATCAATGTGTTAGCTACTCCACACGATATTCAATATTCCCACAAAAGTGTCCCGCACAACAAAGGCTCGCAGACAGATTGCATCTTGGAGTCTCCTGTAATGGGATTTGACAAGAGCCAGGCACTTTAGGCAGGCTCAATCAATGTTAATTGAAGCAGAAGTGATTCAAAGACAAATAGGAGTCCTTGAGATCTTTGAGAGGTGAGAGGGGGGCTTGGGATTGTGACTTTCTCCTTTTCCCATTACCCCTTTATATTTAATTACTTGTTCTAGCTGGTGCATTGTAATTTGATTTGGCATCAGGTGACTTTTGCCTGATCTCATAAGTTAGCAGACTCCTTCCTTGAGAGGAAAAATATCTCATAGTTGGTGGTGATGCCTGTTTAACAGGAAGGAAATCCTTCTTGGGCGACTGGATCTCAGGTTTATAAGATCCCTTTTCCTATTCCTAACATAGCAGACTATCTGGAGGAGGTCAAAGGAAGAAACTCTTCAGTCTTGAATGATAACTGCTATATTTTCTTTGGGTGCATTATTTCTCTAAGGGATCAGCACCAAAATTTAGAATTAGCTTAGGCTCCCCCAAGAAGCAAACCCAAAGATGAAAATTTATTTGCCAATTAGCTGCCTCTTGGTGAGGTGATCCTAGGAAACACTGGCGGAGAAGTGAGAATGTAAGACAACGAGAGAAAGGCAGACAGAGGAACTGGATTCTCAATTAATTACTACCAGGGGAACTGGAGTGTTATCTCACTGGGGATCTCAGAGCCAGCATAGAATATGCCCTTGTTGGTCTCCCCAATGGGGTAGTTATACTTCAGCTCTCTTCAATCACTAGTCAAAGGGCTATTGTGGGCTAGGGGAATGAATGCCCCAGCATTTGAGGCCTATAATGTAGAAAGACGCACGAGAGAAATTCTCAGAAGTACAGACAGGGAGCCCATTGCACTGCTACAACCTGGTGACATATGTAGATGACTTTAAACTCTAATGGTCCCTTAAACAAATGCACCATGCCACCACCCTACCAACAAGTTGTTAGAAGGAACTAGGAAAAGTTTCTTTCATTTGGAACTGAATGCCGTCCTTTGATGGGGAAGTCAGGAGCCAAGTAGCCAAGTCAGGAGTCAGTGTGACTTTGTTCAGGAATTGAGTAGTGTTCCTTTTTCAGTCTGCTGTTCTCTCATTGACCCTTCCCTTAGCTCACAGCCAGGACATTCACATCCACCAGAACATCCTCTGGGTAGGATGCACTGGAACCTTAGACTCTTCAATAGAAAGCAGAATTCAGCATCAGGGAGGCCCAACCCAAACTCCATTCAGAAGTTTAATTTGAAACACACTTTTTTAAAAAATATTTACTTTCATATTAATTTGCACTTGGGTAGCATACGTTTGCCGAGAGCCGAGACAGTCAGTGTGGGAAGCATATGGAAGTGGAGCAATAATTACTAATCCCAAATTACAAGTAAAGATGATGAATGCCCAAAGGTCAAGTTCAAAGTTACAAGCAAATAAACAATCCGACTAGGACTGAAGTCCAGGTGAGCAAGCAGCCATGTACAATGGTGAAGATTTGGAGTGAGGCAAACCTGATTTGTCTCAGCTACGGAATTCATCGACTGGGGAGCTAGGCAAGTCACCTGACACTTCAAGTCTCTGTTTCACACAGATAATGGGGATAACGAGTACCCACCTCATGCCACCACTGTAATGACTCAGAAAGGCAGTGCTTGTAAATCCTCAAGTGTCCAGCTTATAGTAAGAATGCAATAATTAGCTTGCTATTGCAAATATTATCACCATTTTAATTACTCCAAAGTAGAAACTTTCTGCTTCATATGTCTGAAAGTCATGGGATCATATCCACAAGACTCTAATGCACACCAAGGCAATCAGATAAAAACTATTTCCCACCACATGAAATGGATTTTCTTTGCACCACATTTTGGTTATCCCAAGATCTCAGGTGTGGTGGTGGAATATGCCAGGAATCTCTCAAGGGTGTTTTCTACTAAAGAGCCAGGTACAGTCTGATGAGGCCCTGAATGGGGTGAATCCTGAACAGTGAATGAGCCCTCCTTGCCATATTTAGAGGGAGATTAACCTGCCCTTGAATGGCATAGACCGATGGTGCAAACAGGTGGGAAAGGCAGAGTGTCAGTTATCTAAGTCACCTGTGGTGAGGGATGCTGTCATCTCTGAGGGAAGAATGACATATGCCCTATCCCACAGGAGGAATTAGGGACTTGAGGTATATGACTGGTGACGAAGGCAAGGAACAGATGATTCCCCTTCTGTCCATTGAATCCTTGCACTTCCTTTCAATGACTCTAAGCAAGAAGGCCTGAGAAGCTACTCAGAGGTTACTCAGTTCTCAAAGGCCAACTGTAAGTAATTAAGTTCATTGAGTTCTTTATTAACAATGAAGTAACCACTTTTGATTGTGAACATATGAGGATGTGGCAATATTCAATGCATAAAGTATCTTCCATGTGATGCCCTTTATAGGCACTTGTCACCATTACTCTAGTAAATGCCATTCTTCTCATTTTTCAAATGAGGAAATTGAGGCTGAGAGAGCTTAAGACTTGCCCTGCAGTCTGAAACAAATGGGGACTCTAGAATTATAGAAGGATGGCACATGGCAGCCACCACTAGAAATTATGCCACAATTAGCAGATTTCTAGAGTTGACCATGATAGGAAGAGAAGGTGACCACACGATTCAGATCTTGTATGTAGACAACAGATAGCTCTAGTGCCATTTGCAAAGGAGCAATAATGCTGGTCCCAGATGAGACCTCTGGCAGGTCTACCACTTGAAGGTCTACACTGGATATTCTTTCAAAACTACTAAGGACACAGATTTGCAGGAAATTGACAGAGACCTTGTTGCTGAGTCAACTGAAGTTTCTTTATTTCGAGGTAGGCACAGTTACAAGACAAAGTCAGAAATACCACAATTTCCATCCACCCATCCACAGAAGCATGCATTGTTCTTTAACTCCTCCAATGCAGGTAGATCCACAGAGACCCTGCAACACGGGTGATGAGGTCAGTCAATCTCCAGTTCCGGTGTTGTCTTAGAAAATGGCATTTCAAAACCACCCAAAATTGACTAGCTAACGTTCAGGATATTTGAAGTTACTTTTTATACTTATAATTTCTTTGCCATTCTAGCTGCAGGATCAGAGAGGAATTAAATTTCAACCTATGAAGTGTATGTTCCTTTGTAGTGTAACATTTCTATCAAATAGTGTGCAAGAGCCCCAGGTATAATGTATGTTTGATTATATTTCAACTCCAAGTGGTACCACATTGAGATTTCTTCAGTAGCTAAGCAAATAGGACTCGGGTCATTACCCGAATCCAAACTTAAAAAAAAAAAAAAAAAAAAACAGAAAGAAAATGTATTTTTAATCTAAGGATCAGTGCCATACAAATCAAACTACATAGCCCCATTTACTAGTTAACCTGGGACTGCAATTCAGAAACTCCCTAGGAACAGAATTGGTTCATAAACAAGGCTAATTTCAGCACAGAATTATACCTTTTAAAGCAATTCCTTTTTACAACTCCCTGGGTCAAGAAAAGAAAAAGACAGGGGAGAAAAAAAAAAAAGAAGTAATAAAAAGCCAACCAGTCAAAGTCATCCAGAATTGTGTTACGCAGGCAATGACAACGGAAAAACAGTCCAATTCAGAACTGTCACTCAGAGGACTTTGGGTCTGGAGGCACATTGGGTGTGATGCCACTCAAGGTGTCTCTGGGCTCTCACTGCTGTACTTCTGTCCTGGGACCCAACAGCACCTTCCTCACTGTCCTTCAGGAGTTCCCCAGGATACCTGAGAAGGTGGTCCAGCCTCTCTCAGGCCAAGAAGTGGACCTGTGGAAGGACACAATGTAAAAGCCCATTAGGCATCTGATAACTAAAAGGGAGATGGAGTCCAGGGGCCCAGGGCAGATGGATCCTCACCTCTTCCCAGCTTGCTTCTTGCTGTCTCTCCAGAAGGGTGGCATGATGCCTTGGCAGAGCTGGTGGTTTGGGATCTCGAAGATCTTGTAGTGAACTCACTGTAGTATCCATCACCTTGCCGTCCATGCTATTTCTGTTGACAAGAGCATAAAATAAATACGCTGCATCAATGGTCTCTGGAATCTTGAGGAGGAGACAACAGGGCAACACGGACACACAGAAAGGAGGGAAGGGAAGACAAGAGAATAAAACTCAGAATGGATACTCTACCTGCCACCTTTCCCTGGGATTCCCCTAGGCAGTCGTATCCTGGACTGGAGGCTTGAGGTGATTTCTAAGACCTCCCAGAGGTCTCAAAGGTCTGAAAGGTCAGGAGGCATCAGTCCACTCCCATGCGGGCACCTGAACTCAAAACTCAGCTCCTTGAGAACCTCAGCCAGCCTCGCCCCAACTCTCCTGAGTGGATCCTGGCACTGAAATACTACATAACAGAGAGCAAAATGCAGTTGAAAATTAGCAGGAAGTCCTCCTTGTTCCTTTGCCCTGGGGTGGGAGTCAGGGAGAGGCCAGGGGCATGGGGAAGGGTGGGTATTCACCTCGCGATCTCCCCTTGAGTTGTTTGCATGTTCAAGTCATCCCCCTCTTGCCTTCCAACCAAGCACAAAAAGCTCTAGCAGATTCCTTCAATCCTATGGCCCATGCCCTTCGATTCAATCTAGTATTGCTTCTTGACTCCCAGCAGAAAGAGCTCCAGGCCTGGTACATGAGACTCCTGGCTCCATCTATGACCCTCTTTTCCCCCAATGCATGGAAAGCCCAGCACTTCCTCTCTGCCCTTCACTGCACCCACCTCCCTGGAACAGAGGGTGGATACCTCACAGTGGAGAACCCAGACTGGCATCATCAGAGATGAAGCACTACCCCGAGGGGCACAGAAAAAAGGGCATTCAGAGATACTTATCCACCCAAACCCAGTCACCAGGGTCTTGCACTAGGTACAGCCTGGTATAAGTGGTCTGTCCTAGATACACATAATAAAACAAGTGCCTTAGAGGGAGAGCATTAAAAGCTGGGGTCATGGCTCAGTGGTAGAGCACTTGCCTAGCACATGTGAGGCACTGGGTTTGATGCTCAGCACCACATGAAAATAAATAAATGTGTGTGTGTGTGTATATATATATATATTTATATATATATATATATTTTTATATATATATATATATATATATATATATATATATATATATATAAAGCAGTAATAAAACAGAGTCAATCTGCATTTTATGATGACCATTCACTAGCAGTTTTAAACAAGGTTGGTGACAAAACACTGCTTCCCACCCAGGCAGATCCTCTTCTTGGTTCACCTCTGGTAAGATGAGGAATCCATTAGTATTAGTGCTTCTCACTTTTCCTGGATTCTTCAAACCCACTGGCCAACAAACATCCTACTCACTTTCAACCACCAGTTCTAATGCTCCTTATTCCTCAAAGCCTCTCATGACCCAATTGGCTAGGAGGATCCTTTCTTCCTCTTAACCCCTAAGGCAATTTGTCTACATTCTTTGACTTATACTCTGCATTTAAATATGCAAATATGTTATCTTCCCTCTTAACAGACATCAAGAGAGGATAGGCGATTGGAAATCAGGCCTAGGTTAGAGTCTCAATGCTCACCCTGAAATAGTTTTGCAACGCTGGGCTAGCTATTCGGATGCTTTAGCTTGTTTTCACATGTATAAATGGGAGAATACCACCTCTCTCTCAATGCTGCTGCATTCAATTAGATAATGCATAGCACATATCTAGCCTGAGAGAACATGTTGTCTACAGTTAATATGTTTCTGTACTCCTCGGCCTTAAGGGAAGATCCTTCCTTATTCTTTTATCATTGTCCTCTCCTTCCCACTCCTGCAAGGACTTATCAAGAAAAAAACAACAACAAAAATATGTGAATGGAATTGAAAATAAAAGTATAGAATACCTAGGACAAAAGTTTCTTCAAAGGATGACAGAATATTTGCTAAGTCCTTAAGTCAGAACCTAGTACATGGTATATGTTGTAAAAATATGTGCTAAACAAAATAATCTTGTGAGTTAATGTAAGACTTCTTACATCCACAGAGCAATCCAAATTTAAATTATCAAGATACTCTTTCCCTTGCTTGATACTCCTTTTTGCCTTCCCTAGAGATGGGCAATGCTAATGTCACAGCTAATGTTAATGTTAGAACCGAGAGATCCTTTCTCCCTTTAGGGAACATGTCTCAAAAACTCAACGTCCAGGTCCAAGGCTCATAACTTTACCACTCACATGAACCCAATTGAGGAACTGCCCCAACTACCCTATTTTACAGATGCAGCAATTGAGACGTGGAGACATTAAACAACTAGCAAGCTGCAGCACTAGGTTAGGAAATTGGGATTTGGAGTCATGCTCTAATTCACTGTGGAGTTACTGCAGAACCTTCTATGACGATGGAAATGTCCTTTGCTATCTAATATGGTGGTCACTAATCACCTATAGCTATGGAGCTCTCCAAAGGAAGCTATTTCTGACTAGGGAATCAGATTTGAAATTTTAGTGAATTTAAACAACCTTGCGTCTAGTGGCTACAATACTGGACAAGTTTATTCCATCTTAGAGATCTCTTCCCTCAGGCCCCTAGCTTTGCTGTTAGAAATGATAGGATCCACCATAAAGGTAAGGTCACAGATTATTTCGGGGTGGGGGGGGGAGCATGGTATGCTAATAATGAAACCTAAGAGCACAGGTTTTGGAGTGGGATATGTCAAGTTTGAAATTCAAGTCTTATTGTGGCCTGGCTGTGTCTACAGCTTATTAGTCAACCTTCCTATGTATCAATCTCTTTTCTGTTAAGGAGGCATGAGAATATTTCTAGGTTCAATGAGACCATCAAGTAATGCAGTGTCTGCAATAGAGGGCTTAGCACAAGCTTGGTACAATTTAAGGTGAAGCTGTATAACATAAACACATAACTTATGTGAATTCCTCTCCCTATGCTTTTGAGCACGCAGAAGAGATGGGGAGAAAGTAATAATATAAGCCATCGGGGGAGAAGCTTTTTAATCTGTATTCAACTCCATGCCTACGTATATCACAGAGTGAGCATGAGATGAACGACAAAAAATCTGTTTCCCATTGCAGTATGCTCTCATATAGTGTATGATTCTAGTGTTTGTATGTGATTTTCCCCTACTGCGCTGACTTAACCACCCCTCACCCCACAGCCAAATAAGGATCCTTAGTGTTATTCCCTTCAGAACCAAGGGCTATACACAGAGTACTGCTATGATGATTATTATTTTTTTTTTAAAAATGTTTTTTCACTGTAGATGGACACAATACCTTTATTTATTTTTATTTGGTGCTGAGGATTGAACCCGGGGCCTCACACATGCTGGGAAAGCACTTACCTACTGAGCCACAACCCATCCCTGCTATGTTTATTTTATAACTGAGTAGCAAGTCTCCTTATATCAGCCAGCCCATATATATATATCTATATATAGTTTTTGTTTTTGTTATTGCTCTCACATGCACATGCCCCACATCCTCCTCCCTCCCTCCCTTCTCATGCACATGCATGCTGCCTCTTTTTGGCAGGGGAGGTCCAATACTGGAAATTGAACTCAGGGCCTTGCACATGCTAGGAAAGTGCTGTATCACTAAACTACATCCCTAGCAACACCTTAATGTTTTAGAAATATTGTGAGACAGGATCTAAGTTGCCCAGGCTGGCCTCAAACTTGTGATCCACTTGCCTCAGACTCCTGAGCAGCTGAGATTATAGGCATGCACCACTGTGCCCAGTTACCAATTCTTTATATTAATTTCTTCTGTTGAAGTAACTGGCACAGTTTATTTCCTGAATGGACCCATCCTGATCCCCCTTTCTCCTCCCTAGTCCATAGATGCAACTATGTTACTGACTACATAAGAAAACAAACCACTGTCATAGTTCTGCTCTACTTTTGTTTTACCAGATAAAATCTGTCTGAACATCAGCATATCCTGACATGTCTGTTCTAGACCTTCTCTGCCTTGCATCTAAATACACGATGGGATAAAAGGAATGAAACACATCTGATTATGTGATTGGATATATCAAAGAGTAATCAACCATGGAAGTGCCTTCTCAGGCAGCTCATTCCTGGGCACATCTTCCAGGACAGCTGAAAGTCTGATAAAACACATGGACATTTCCATTAACAAAGACTGACACACTTAAGTCCTTGCAGGGGGCACTTGCTAAAGCTCAAGGTACAGGCCTTCTGAAACAATACCTTAACAACAGGTATCAGATAAACAAGAGCCTTCTGCAATGTTTTAGCCTTTGACAGTCTTAAATGTCCCATCTGCCAGTTTTTTAGAGAAGATGCATACATATAATACAATGCATGATATTATATCAGATCCACCTGAGAGTGGATGACGACTCCCAGCCCCATCTCCACAACGCTGTCTTATCTCATACAAACAGGAGACAATAGGGCAAAATCTCCAGTGTTGAGGGTCCCTGCCTACCTCTTGCACTTGCTTGACTTGAAGGAAGGGCAGGTTGAGCCATTGCATCTCTGTCACGTTCAGGTCTCATTCTTTGGAAATGAATCCTGCCACCAAATTTCATGCCACAAAAAAAGTGACTCTGCACCCACCCGCTGCCCCCAGTAGGATCCTGAGACATGTCTAGTGGACTACTGGGTATCCCAACTCAGGGAAACCAACACAACCTAGATCCTTGCATCCCAAATTATTGCCCTTCTTTGGTCTGCCTCAGCTGGTAGCCTTGACCTTCTTATCTAATGTCATACTCCTTAGAGGAATTACATAAAGAATCCTAATTCTGTTTTGAATGTCATCCATAACTATTTGCAGGTCTCCACAGTGGTTTCCACTAAATGAAAATCCCCTCTCCTTTTCTTTCCAAACCAGTGTTAGCATTAATATCAGCACAAGTAGCAGAGGCTGTCTGACCCTCAGTCAAATCTCTCGGGGTCTACCAAGGCCAACTTCCAACTGCCAAAAACTATCTCTTCTCATGAGGGATTTTTCCAGAAACTACTCTGAGTATGGCAGTCCAGGAATATCTGAAATTAACTTGTCCTGAGAGGAGTCTTCAACCAGTGACTGACATTTGGGGGCATAATTCTGAGGCATATGCTATAAATTGTTTCCCAGAATTTCCTCTGAGGCTTGAGTTCCAGCTGTCCCCATAGTTGACTGGCTCAATGTCACATCCTTTCTGGCTGCTTTTCCTATCTTCCTATTTCCTTTCCCCTATCATTGTTCCCCAAATAAACTCACTCTCAAATCCTTATCTTGGGGTCACTTTTGGGAAACCACTAAAACAGTAAAAAACTACCATTTTCTAACTCCAGTGACTTTCAAAAATGCTTTATGTACATGTATATGTAGGAATACATAAATATGTATTTCCAAGCTATGTTAATTATATTAATTTTTTTAGCTTTTAATCATTCAACAATATTTATTTTTTATTTGTTTCAATTAGTTACACATGACAGTATAATTTATAATAACTACATACTATGCTGCTGACATTTGAGTTTTCATGTATTTTGCTGTGCGCCAGTTCCGTGTCTCCCCTAAGCTGGTAAGATGTTCAGAGGCCAGGAGTGCATCACCTCCTTCTACAATTTCCCACGATGCCTGCTGTGACACTTTGCAGAGTGAATATTCATTCAATAAGGGCTGACAGACAGAAGGCCACAGAGGTTAGCTCTGTTTGTCCCGTGGG